ACACTTTAAAACGTGACTCTGGGTCGTAATAATAATCATTATATATACAGTCTAGTGGCGGCCGGCCCATAGGGGCGCTAGGGGCGCCGCCCCCCCTCTTCCCACATTAAAAATAAAAAAAATTAAAAAAAAATATTTAAAAAATATATTTTTTATTTTTATTTTTATTTTTAATAAACAAGGTAAATATTATATAATTGGTATCAGTAAAATGTATAATCTACAATAAAATCTTGTTTAAAATTGTGTTACGATGTCTAAAGTTACTGATAAGTCACATGTTTCCTGCCTGGCCTTGCCCCTGTATCATTACCCTCTGAGAGTGCAGCAAGTGCAGCAGAAGCCAACTGTTGCTATCTTTAAACTATGCCGCCGAAACATAATTTCAGCCAATCAGCGTCGTCAAATCTGATGGTCACAGGGCGCCTACGTCAGCGCCCGGTGCAGTCTGTGAGTTGTTTGGACTCGTATCCAAGGAGACAAAACAGGAAGCTGTCATACACTCTGGAAGCTATCATTAGCAGCTAATGAAAACTCAGTTTTTGACATAAAAATGTAATTATGGATCATCAATAATTGTTTCAAAGTGACAGACACATTGGATTAACCTATGGATTAACCTTCAGTCGCGTTCTCGTTTTTGATCAGAATAACAGCAAAAGGTGAGCATATCTCCGTGTTTTGCTACCTAAAGCTACGTCGTGTGATGTCTGTATTTGCTTCCCCTGTCACGAGTTCTGATCGCTCAGTGATGATACTTATATTTCTAGAATCTGTGGAATCTCAGCTTGTTAGCATAAGCTTGTTTGTGCATATCCGATAAGTATATGGATTGATTTATACCTAGAGTGCGTTAGCATTTTTTCGCTCAGGGCTCATTTAGACGCTTCTTGTGAGACTTGTGTTTTGTTTCGGTAAACATGGTTCATATCATCAGTTAGCTGCGTTTCTTCCCGTTAAATGAGTAGGACACATGAATAGTTTATTACATTTTAAGAACTGAAGATTATGGAGGTATTGATCAGTCTTCTCATATTTTTAAGCCTCAATTTGTCCTTCCCCCCCCCCCCCTCTAACATCACCAGAAGTCATAATTTAGGGGATCTTTTCTCAAAAAAATTTACCGGGGGAGCATCCCCCCGGAACCCCCTATTGTTTGGTCACCATTTCCACAGCCCCACCTAAAATATTTTCCACCAGCCGCCACTGAGTTTATGGTAATAAGCTGCTGAACAATCGACCTATATGGTCGTTTTCTGTAGGAGGACAGGCTGCAACAGAATGAACATAATACAGAATTTAAAAGTGTTTTGCGATCACCTATACTGTTGTAGCTACATACTGAGTTGCAAAAGAAGGAAGGAAATATTTGAATCAGTAAACCATTTAGTGATCTCACCAGATAAGATATAGGCTACCAACATGGTAGCCTTACATCTAAATTGGTGAACTTGCTGCTCAAGCTTTGATTTAACATTGAGATATGAGTCACAGAGCTGGTGACCAAGAGAAAACCTCTTTGGATGTTTTTAGGCTCCTCGAGTCTTAGTTTAAGTGTTCATTTTGGTTTCAATCCTCAAGACAAACTTTGTTGATTTATTGTTCTCTAACCTACTCCTATCATCTATTTTATGTTAATTGGAGAAGACATAGGCTTTCTAAAGAAAGTCTCATACTCCGCTCTAAATAGTTAATTACTCTCGCCATGTCTCCGGTGGTGTCTGGATGTGGACGGGGGCAGAGACGCAGAGGCTTCTGTCTGTCTTCCTTTCTTTATTTTTTCCAGTAGGGGCAGGCCTAGGCCTATATATTTTGCAGCTCATGTCTGAAAGGCTGGCTCCAAGCGCTAGGGGTGGGCTCTCGCTCTCTGATGGTTTTCCAGTGAGTATTTGTCAGGTCAGACTGTGCACCGCCCGGCGGTCTCCGCTCCTCTCCCCGGGTTATTTATTACCTCTCTCCCCCGCCGGCAGCGCTGCGGCTCCGGGGCCGCTGCCAACAACGGCGCAGAGGCGGGGGCCCCGTTAGGGGGGTTCGCGATGGACGATGAGAGGAAATGAAACGACATGAAATACATTTGGAGGATGGACAGGATTTCAGCATTATAACATGGCAAAGTTACCGTTTTCAAAACGTTTTGAATAAGAAATACGTAGAGATGTCATGCCTGGTAGTATAGTATTACCATTATTGTGAAATAATTAATTGTTACTCAGTTAACTGTTTATTAGAGCACCAGTACATTTTGCCAACAGTTTTGATGAGCAGCTTGATTCATATTTAAAAAAAGTATAGTATTTGATGTTTCTGCAAGTTTTTATGACAGGAAATAAAATATCTTCTGGTTTTGGACTGTAGGTCACATTATCAGGTAATATGAAGCTTTGAGAGGCATTTTATTTTATTGGCAAAATCATGTAATCCATTAATTAATCAATACTAAACATAGGCCCCGTATTAAAATACTGTAGCTTTTCCATCATAACGTTGATCCATGATACCTGCCACACAAACAATTTGCATTATAGACAGACAGCCATGATTCTCTACATGTAATGGGACTTCCAAATTGGCAACTTTTACAAAAAAGCAGCAGCCAATCATCTATTATTTTCATTTTATTGCAGTATTACTGAGTTTTATAAATGTCTAATGTAAAAAAAAAAAAAGTAAAAAAGGTTATTTTCAATTCAGTTACTGGAACATGAATACCATATGCTTCAAAAGTCTTACCGATATAAACTGGAATAAATAAATAACATTGGGAGCAAAATGTCTGACAATAGAGGTATCTGAGAGATGCTTGCTGTAAAATCTAAAACAACATCTGTTATTTAAAGGTTTTTTCATAATAAATATTACTAAGAGACTATTATAACTAGGGTATCTGAATCCATTCTTGCAAGGTCCTTTCCGATTAGACCAAAAACATTGTATTGTAATTCAAGTATCTACTGATATTGGTATTTCCTAGTTTATTGTAAATTCATTTAGTGTAGGAGAAGTACGAGTTTTTCAGTGGTTAGTTTGTTTCTTTCATTTTGGTATTCGGCCACACTGTAGTTGTAGAAGACAGAAAAGTTTGGTAGAAAGGTTAAACAAGGTCTCCTCATATCAAACATTTTTATGAAAGTGATACACAGGCTGATGGAAAAATCTACTCAGTTTACATGAGCCAATTTTTGTAGATTGTTGTCAACGTACATGTTTGGGGAACCCCTCTGTGATGAGCCATGAGGATGAGTCACATCAGGGAGAGGGAGTGGGTGAAGGAGTGGGCATGGGTGTCCCCCTTCTGACTAGTTTCATCAGGGCTCTCCCGATGTTGCAACCTGTAGCGCCAACGCACTCATCAACAAGGTTTCCATCGAGACATTTCGATGTGGTGAGGGCTGGTTTGATACAGACCGAATCAAAGAGCTTCTCTTCTGAAATGCAGTGTTCCACTTCCTAGAATCAGCTCTGTAAACATGCGCCATAAATGTCAGCAGCTCGTGATTTATGTCACTGCTCCTGTTAGGTGTACTCGCCAACATGTGGGTGGTGACATTATTGTTTAGTACAAAAATGTTGCCTTTCAAATTCTCTTTTTTTTTAGACAGTGTTCACTTTAAAGACAGTTTTTAGATAAGTGATGTTTTTTTGGCTGTGAAGGTAAATCTGTTTCTGCCTTCATCTGATCCACAAACCCACTAATGCCATTACAGTCCCTTCAGACCTCACAGCTCCTAGGTTCCTAAAGTAAAAACGCCAGTCCACGGTTCGTCACTGTCTTTGGTGAGGTAGCTGGCATGTGTTTTTGTAAATGTCTGCCGTGTGTTTGCCTGCTTGTTCCTGGCTGTAGGCATTATACCAGTTCTGGCCAGGCTGTGGTCTCTGGCCTGCCCGTGCACCGCTTCCGCCTGCGGTGTGGCGTGCCTCCTTCCTGTGTGTGTCAGAGGCAGTTTGGCCTGATTTATAGGCCCCTGACACACAGCGCTTTGGACCCCACCTCTGCCGCTAGAATGGCTATTCCATGTGTTGGTGGTGGATCCACCTGGGTGGTTCTTCACTGATGGGGGTCAGATGTGGTCCTGCTCACAAGCTCCAGGAGCTCAGGGAAACATGCCCTGCAGACAGCGTGCAGAGAAAGAACTTTCAGAAAATGTGGTTCCAGTCTGAGGAGGATTTACTTCACTCAAAGCAGCATGTTTGCAGCCACGGTTGCACATATTCATTATTTATTATTTGGAAAGATTTTACATCTACACTTGCTTGTAGCCCCATGATTAGGTCATAAAACAGTTCAAGGATCTCTGATAAAGGTTACGTTTTGGTTAGTGGTAATAGGAGTTATATCTGTTATAATAACCAAAGCACTTCCAAAAATGTTGAGCTAAATTGTTGGTCATTCTTATTAATAGAAATAACTTCAGGAATCCCACCCATGGTGTGAAAAGTCTAAAGCACAGACCCACCTTGTTGCTATTTCAAAGTGAAACAACTCACTTTGTGAAAGCATACATAATCTCACCAACCGATGCTGTCAGATTTTCGTAATTAAAAACAGCCTATTCAAGTTTTGTGATGATTAAGTAGGAGTTTTGTATACACTGTCAGTTCTGCACACAGTTAAGCAGATTTAGGCTCTCTGAAGTGGCTGCATTATCTGAGTGTTAAGTTGGTGGAGCAAAGGTCAGGGGTAACACTATAGGTGGAATATAATGAAGATGGTTGAATCCACACACAATAAACACAGATGAATTGAACAAATGAAGAAACGATTTAAAGATAATAAATTATGTTGGACTACGATGTGTGGATATGAAGACTCAGCTTTTAAAACGAGTTTAAGAATCAGTTGCGTGGGTTGAAATGACAGTGGACTTCCTCATCCTCACTATTTAATGATGGTTCCTGCGTTTAACACTGAAGCGCCGTCCCTCGCAGTCCCCCCTCTTCGCTGTGGCTCTTGCCGAGCCTCCGCTGTTTAAATGGGCCAAGTTGAGAAGCGGCGGAGAGTGCAAATCTTGTTTGGTCTGGGTCTGTGAACTTCAGCGTGACTTCTACGACATACACAGGGGTTAAAAACAACTATTTCCAAACTTTCAACTGCATAAATCCTGCGAAAATACTACTCAGGAATATCAAGCCTGATATGTTTGGCTTAAGGCTTTAAATAATGCCATTTGCCACATTGTTTTAAGTAAAAGGCTAAATATACTAGGTATATTTATCAGTTTATTGTCTTTAATATTTGTTACATTGTAGCCTATCTTGAGCACTCGAAAACTTCCCATAACTAAATTGAAGTCCGTTTTTTTTTATAGATTGCATTGCAGTCGATTCAACATTTTGCCTATAGTGAAATAAAAAAAAAATCTTCGTTATATTTTCCCCAAGGACAAAAAATAAGAGACGACGCATAGCTGCGACTGGTAATGATCACCGTAGGTAACATAATGTCCGGGGCTCAGGGCTAACCATGTCAGGTATTAACAGAGCGAGCGTGATTAAATGTGGGAGGTAGGAGCTGCGAGGCTGGCGGAGAGCGCTGCTGCCGCTGCGAGCTGGAAACTACTGAATGGGAATCTATCCGGCAACTTCGGCAGACTGCTGTCTCACGGCGATACGGAGGCTCTGCGTAAAACCAAGCGGCGCGTCTCCAAGTCTGGGTCAGCCCAACTCACTGACGGAGAGGACGCTGAAGTTGGATCAGGCGAGCAGCTTTTCACTTGTTACCGGCGCTCGGCTCACACTAACATGCCTGCCATCAAAAAGGAGAGGCTGGATGGAGACGACATGGCATTGACTGCGTTCAACCAGTCCGAATACCTGGCCCCTTTAAATGCCACCGCTATCCCCGTGGTGACCCCGCATCCACCGCCCTACGACCATATTTTCGCCCATCACCGCGCGTATTTGGGGCTCCACGACTCGGCGCTGCATCACCAGCACCTCCACCATCACACGGACGACTTAATGCTGGAAAGGTTCTCCTCCATCCCCGACTTTCAGCCCTTCTTCGACAACGGGGAACCGTGCATCGAGGTGGAGTGCGGGGAAAACAAGGCTTTGCTTTATATCAATAAATTGTGTCAAGGTAGTAAGGGACCCTCAATTAAATACCGGGGCGAGTGGCTCACCCCCAACGAGTTCCAGTTTGTCAGTGGACGAGAGACTGCCAAAGATTGGAAACGGAGTATAAGACACAAAGGTAAGGACAACTGTCTCCTCGGTTCGTTGTAAAGAGCACCCTAGCCATCAATTAAACACTTTTTAGAGCTCGCTTAGTTCAAACTTAGGTCTCGTGGCTCGGTGCTGGGTTTTGGAGTGAAAGGGTTACAGCAGTCAGTGCGTAAGGAGACAGATGAGAAAAGGCGCATATCCTCCACATACCCTGCGAACACAGTTAGCCTTGGATCATACACCAAACCGGGCCATTTCAAGTAAGCTGTCCGGGACTGAGGTGGAAAGTTAGACATAGATAATTCAATGACAGTAGATTTTCCTTATTATGGGATGAATCGTTCCGTTAAGTGCAACTGCACTTGTGCATGGGTGTTGACACTTTTACGCATGTAAGGTTTGAGATTTCTTCTTTAAAAATAACGTTTTGTTTGTCATCTTAACCGCACAGTTTTTGGTAAATGTAGCGATTATGCATTATATTGCGATTTTTAACTGAATATTACTTGTGTATTTGCTTTCATCTATTGCTACATATAGTAGAAGTTTATTAGATTTTCCGGTAAAACAACTTTGACGGCATCAGAGCAGTGATACTGTTCTGGTAATCTTATATGTGAGCATTTATAGCATAGTATTTTTATGCAATAATTAGACATTGTGCTTGCACCCCCTCATCACACACACACACTCGCACACAAAGTTACTCAGGCAGAACTGACACGCGTTAGGATGTGTGGGGGGAGGGTGTCGCCCCCAGGTCAAAATTGGTAGCCTCATAGTTTAATATACCGATTGCTATAGACAGATGACAGTAGGCTGCTGTCTCTCTGGCTCACCACACTTGACCTTTGGGTAGAAATAAACTTCATGGCAGAAATGTGCAGAGCAAAGTCAAGCTTTACTGCAGGGGCTGACTCCTTCAGATACTTACTGTGTTGTTGGATGATTTTTGACAAGGTTAGTCTCGAAAACTTTATGTTCTGAAATGGGCTGAAAAGACACAATTCCAAGCAATTTGATAACACCTTATCACATGTTGTGTCATAGAGAAGATACGTTTACTTTTGGTAGTATTCACTAAAAATGTTTCTCTTGTTTATTTGTTTTTCCAGGAAAAAGTCTCAAGACTCTTATGTCCAAAGGAATCTTACAGGTGCACCCTCCGATCTGTGACTGTCCCGGCTGTCGAATTTCATCTCCAGTAGTAAGAGAAATTCATCTTCTGTCTCACTTTGTTACTGCTGCACTGTCTTTCTATACTTGTAGAGTCAATGTGTTAACTATGAGAATCTACATGAAAATTATAGTTTTGTTTTAACTTGAAGAAACTTCTTGCTGGGCATATTATCAATATATTGAATATGTGAGGTGAAGAGATGCTGGTTTTTCATTGTGGTGGTCAATAATTCATCTCATTAGTAAAGGTTGTAACTTGCCAAAGGGCACAATGCATGCAGACAGATCTTGGAGAGATATTGTTGTAATACAAATATTGTTGTGAAAAGACTGAAGTATTTGTAATATCTCTTGATTAGACTATTACAACTTGTTTTGATTTTCTGTTACTCAGTTAAATTGATGATGAATGACAGTGCCTGCTTGGCTGTTATATCAAGTGCATTTTATATATTTTGTATTAATAAAGCCCAACATCACAAATGTGTCTTAACAATCCATACCCTCAAAGCTTCATTTGTTTAAATATATTTTATTTTGTTTAATCTTTTCCTAAATAGCCCAAAAAATAATATTAGGTATAGCTTGTGTGAAAGAAGGATTTGGCATATCCTACTTATATTTATTAATTACACTGTTTGTGTTGTCATCCAGCTTTGCGTGCATGAAACAGTGTGTGAGTGTATACTGTGTATACTGTATTGGAGCGTTGTCTTTCTCTGTAACCTTGGTGGTGAGGATCCCACAGGCACACATGTCAACTTTGATGATAATTTCTCACAGCATGAATATCAAATCAACTTTCAGCCTTTCACTGATGCAGTGATCCTTTTATTTAGAGGCATTGAGCTGTCCAGTGTGGCTGTTTGACGTTAAGTGTTATTGTTTGGACTCTTCTGTCCCATTGAATCTGTTTCCTCACCTGTCTGCTGAACTTTTGTTTGCTGAGTGTTTCCCTCGGGGCTTGGCCAGGGGCACGATGCCAAACCTTGAGGCCTTGCAGGTGTGTCACGATTACAGCGTTACCACTATGTGTGTGTGTGTGTGTGTGTGTGTGTCAGCTTTGAGCAAGCACACTGCCGGCTCACCGTCTCCAAATCTGTTCACACAGGTGCAGTGCGTTGTGAGTGTATGTGTCTTTGCGTGTGTGTGTTTTTATCACCACGGAGCGCATCTGTCGTCGCTCCCAAGCACTAATCTTGAGGGAAGGGTGTAAGAGGCTTAGCGAGCTACTGAGCGTGGCTACTGCTGATTATTGTGTGCGAGGCACGCAAGGCAAAGGCGGTTTAGATAAGCCGGAGGTGTTTGAGTGATACAGGTAAACTGATGAAATTTCCCACAGCCTAGAATGAAGACCTGTACCCCGACACATAGGGTTCACCCAAACAAATGACCTGAGGGAAGTGGGAAGCAGGGGGGGAAAAGAGAAGAAATGCTCATTTCCTTTTTTTTTCTTTTCTTAATTTACAAAAGCATTTTAAGAATCTGACCGTGCTTTCTTATCTTTAAGCTCATCACAGATATCAAAGTGATTGGTTGTTGGCTTGCTAGGGCTTGTGCAGTTCCACTTCAATTACAGCTGTGACGGAGTAAAACTTTGTTATTGACGTAAGCAGGGATATGAGAGCCTTAAGGTTGTTGTTGTAGCTTCTCTTCCTCTCCCTTTCCATGTCTAGTGGTGGTCTAGTGGTAGAGTCTGGAGTCTTACCCACCAAGTGAAAAGGACCGTGACACTATCGCACACACATACACACACACGCAGGATAACTATGTTGGAAGCTCCATGTGAGGTGGTGAGGGTTAGGTGGAGGAGGGAGGGCAGTGGGACTTGTATGGCCTGTACTGGCGTCTCCCTCTCTCCCCACTGACTCCCCTCAGGGCATGGCAGCAAGCACTCCCTTACTGATGAGCTCTCTCTCGCTCACTCACTCTCACACACACACACACACACACACACACACACACACACACACACACACACACACACACACACACACACACACACACACACACACACACACACACACACACACACACACACACACACACACACACACACACACTATATGCCTGCCTACTGACACAAATTACCTCATGCAGTCATTTATTTTGAAAGTTTGACGGCTGAACTTTGAGTGATCTTGTTTCGCTATAGGCATGAGGCAAGTGATCATAAAAAAGTGCAGCAGCTGGTGGGAAGACTTTTCACCTGCCTGCTCAGAACCTGTGCAAGTTAATTTGCAGTGTCGGGCCGGGCACAAGCTGTTTATAACGACAGACACAAACTGAACTGTTGTTCCACGCAACAGTGTAGAATTTAAATATGTTGTTTATTCACATGTATTTACATGCTGCTAAAGACTAGCTGTCAAGGTGGGCTAGCTCTTTATTGGGCCTGTTAGTTTGTGATAACCAGGCACTTTCACATTATTTATTTTTGGAACCGTATGTAATTTTTTGTATGTATACTGTATAATGCTCGAGATGGTGTACGGTGTTGAAGTTTATTCTTAGCTCTGTATGTTTGTGTTTTTGTCTGTACATACTTAAGCGTTAGCTTGTATCTTTATGCAGGCATGTCTGTGATTATTTGTACGCCCGCGATGGTTGGCTTACTTGCCTGCATGCTGTGTGTGCGTGTGTGAGTTTGTGTGTGTGTGTCTCCTCCTGGGAGAGCTAGGCTTCCTCTGCTCTGTTATTTCAGCGGAACTGGCGGAGGCCGGGAGGAAATTACACTCCCCTCCTCCGGCTCGTAAAGACCTCCTCCAATCAAGGGCTCCTCTTGCAAAGTGGAATTAAAACACACACACACACACACACACACACACACACACACACACACACACACACACACACACACACACACACACACACACACACACACACACACACACACACACACGCACACACACACACACACACACACACACACACACACACACACAGAGAACTTATAGCCTTTCTCATTACATTTTCATAATGTCACTTCCAATCACTTTGATGGAGAAATTATAATTAATATCACAGTGCTCCATATTATGTGAAATAACAGGAGTTGAGCTATTACTTAATGCGGAGTCCTCTTTTAGATTAACTTCCTTCTTTACTCCGCTTCTGTTTTATGTGTTTTTGTTGTGTTTATGTTTGCTTGTGTGTTTTGCTGAAGATATGTTGCTATGGTAACACCAGAATTGGTCATTGGCCCAGAAGTGTGCAGAACTGTGGTGGTGTCGAGTGTTTTTGTGCACTTTTGTGTGCATCTCTTTCTGATTATTGGACAAATGAGAGATTAAGTGAGACTGTAATGATCTGCGCGCTGTGGGTCTTAATCACGCTTATAAAGATCAATTTGGAATGAATGTACCCACATAGAAACACATTAACGTTTGTATACACGCTCATGCAAAAACTATGTTGTGCCTCTCGTGGTCTTTCTATCTATGAATAATTCAGGTAAATAACCAGTTAAATTCTACAAATTAGCCAATGGCTTCCACTAGTGTGCATTTCAGCAAGATGCCAGCGATAAAGAGCTAAGTGTGTATGTGATTGTGTGTGAGCTTCTTATATTGTTTCTTACTAAATGGCTGGATGCAAGTGTGTTTGGGTGTGGACCCCGTTAACAGGCAGCTGAAATAAGTTGGAGCATCTGTCTATCAGCCAAATGTGGTTTATCACAACAAAGCCAACGGCAATATTTCTAAAACCCTCCTCCTAACATCTGTGTGTGTCTGTCTGTGCGTGTGTGTGTATGTGCGCACAGAAGTGTTTGTGTTATTCTGCCATGTGATTTCCTCTGATAGTTACAGGCTCACTCTGTCACACCAAGCCTTTTGCAGACAGTATTGTCATGTCATAGTTTTACTTCCGCACATCCATGTGCACTCAATATGCCAACATATACTGTATAAACACAGGATTACTGATATAATTCCACAGCGTTGTACAGTTATGGGCACAGATCTAGGTTATCATTCAAATAAAGATGTAAGAAAGGGTCAGTAAGAGAAAGATAAAAGACAGATAAAGATTATATTTCAAATTCACAGCATGAATCAGGGTCGTCTGAGTTCCTGGTTTTCCCTACACAACACAACTGATGCTCATCATTAAAATTAACTGGACCTTTATTTCATAAATGTAGTGTAGCTGTGTGTTAAATTGTGACAGCAGAGAGGATGTTCTAACCTTGAAGTGGTGTATTTTTAATAGTGTGGCAGTGTATTTAATATAACTAAAGTGTGTTGATCTTTACATGAAGATTCCATAATTGTCAGTACAACATTTGAATCCTGAAAACACAACTGAAACTCCAGTAGAATGAACCAACCTCAACTTAAAGCTGTCCTTCACTTCCTCTGTGATGGGGGGGAGGACAGCCCAGGCGTTACCTGTGCATAAAGCTCCCCTGCGGCGGCCGCGGTGGGCCTATCCAAACACAGGGAGGGAGAGAAGAAGGGAGGAGGAAGGAGAGAGAGAAACAAGAGGGAAAGGGTAGAGCGAGAGGCGCACTGGTACGCTTGACTGCGCAGCCACTGACCTCCCAGCGCCGCCCCGGCAGCCCTCCCCTTCTCTCCGCCGCCTCTCGCCCTCTGTGCACCTCTCCCCCTCCCCCCGCTGCTCACCCATCCCTCCCCCTTGCCCTGTGCCGCTCCACTGGGCTGCAACTGCCCGCTCGGCTCAGCGCGTGGGGCCGAGGGTGCAGGAGAGCATGAGTGTGTGTGGCCGGGGGGGGGGGGGGGGGGAGGCGGGGGCGGGGGACTTGGTCGCATGCCTGTCCGCCCTGCAGTGCTTTCTCACTTTTTTTCTCTTTCTCTCACACGGCCTTGAACAACCAAGTGTTGCCGAGAGTCGGCACATAAAACACACGTTATCAAGAATCAGATGTATTCTGCTGAGTATGATCGACATTTTCCCTTCATTATAATCTTGCATTTCAAGTCATGAGTGTTCAGTCAGGCAGCATTTTAACATAAGAATAATTTGACTTAGCATCTTAACTGCCATTGCCTCTTTATGAATTACTCA